AAAGTTTAAAAAGTTTCAAGTTACACTTGCAGGATGGTCCTTTCGATTGGAGCGGTCCTTTGCAAGGAACTCTACTAAGCTGCTACTTCTGGGGTTATTTGATATCTCAAATTCCGGGGGCACGAATAGCTGAAAATTTTTCGGCAAAATGGGTCATGTTGACAGCCGTAGCAATAAATGGTTTTTGTACCATCTTGACTCCTATATTTACTAAAGTCCATTACGTGGGTTTAATTTTTATGCGTGTTTTGGAGGGCATCGGTGGTGGCGTCACTTTTCCGGCTATGCATTGTATGATCGCCGCTTGGTCACCCCCTAATGAAAGATCAATTATGTCTACAATTATATACGTAGGCACATCATTTGGTACAGCGGTCTCTATACTTATGGCGGGATTTCTATCCGATAATTTTGGCTGGGAGTCAATTTTCTATGTTATGGGTGGTCTTAGCTGTATATGGATGATTTTATGGATTTGTTTTGTTCAAGATAACCCTAATGAACAGCGTTTTATCACTGCTGATGAAAGAGAAATGATTAATAGCTCCCTGGGTCAGAGCAAAGAAAATGCCAAAGAAGGTCATCCACCGACACCATGGAACCAAGTCCTAACATCGATACCATTTTGGGCCATTTTAATAGCGCACTGCTGCAGTAATTGGGGCTGGTATATGTTCTTGATTGAGATACCGTTTTATATGAAACAAGTCTTGGCCTTAAACGTAACCAGTAATGCTATGGCTAGTGCTATGCCTTATTTCCCTCTATTAATTTTTAGCATAATGCTAGGCAAAATCTTAGACACACTCAAAGCGAAAGGTAAATATTGTGATATATTGAAAATAATATATGATAATAATAGGAAGACGTAGAAGAAGAAGAAGAAGAAGAATATGAATGCACATGAAATTTCTTCAATTAATCTTACAGAAAAAATTACTACGACAGCGGCTCGTAAAATTTCCACCACTATTGCTTCAGCTATACCTATGTTATGCTTATTAATCCTATGCTATATAGGATGCCGACATGCCTGGGCTGTTGCCATTATGACTATTGGTATTGTATCTATGGGTGCCATGTTCTCGGGTTTCCTTTCTAATCATATTGATATAGCTCCAAACTTTGCCGGCACTTTGGTGGCTTTAACCAATACTGTAGCAACGTTGCCCGGCATAATTGTACCCATCTTTGTAGGCTTTATAACGAAAGGAAATGTAAGTTCCAAGTATATAATTATAAAAATATGTATAAAAGATTGAAAAAATCTTTTTATAGCAAACAATTGCTGCTTGGCGGATAATATTTTTTGTTACTATGGTTTTATTTGTTATCGAATTCTTGGTGTATATCATTCTCGGATCAGGTGAAGAGCAACCATGGAATAAGAAAAATCAAACAAATGATTCGGAAAATACTCCGCTACGAAACAAAGAAAACACTTCTTAAATACACTGGCAATTATTATATACACCTGTAAATTTATATACAAAAAATATACAAACAAATTATAAAAAACAACTACCTCTTCGAAAGAAAAGCAGTGCTTGGTGCTCCTTAGCGAGGAAACTTGATATCGGATTTTGTATTTTCGGCTGATTGTTCTTGTTAACAAGATCGTCCATTGATGATAGCTCAATGGCGCGGGACCGTAAGCCTTCTGGTTCATACGTTCTGTTATATATTAATAATTGATGTCCATTCGGTAAATTAAAACAAAAAAAAATTAAA